TGGTGGGGGCGGCGGTGGTGGTGGTAGTGGTAATGGGTACTAGTAGTTGTAGTAGTAGCCGTAGTGGTAGTAATAGTATGATAATGATGATACCTCTCGGTGTATCAATGTGCAGCAGGAGGGAGCCTGAATCCTGAACTGCCATTGCATCTCAAGTGCCAGCTTTCCCAGCAAGCCACGGGGATCTAGATCCGAACTCAGGGGATAGAGAACCTGGGCTGCGTTTGCAGCTTGGATGTTTTCGGCGCTTGCCTCCACTTTTGGCGCGGGGGTTTAGGGTTTAGGGTTCTATCCTGATGAGGCAAAAGATTTAATCATGGGTGGTTGCCTTGTTCTGGGCGCACGCAGATCTATCAGGTTCTGCTAAGATACACCTGTGAATGATGCCTTTCTCTGAGTTTGGCAAATAGCCCAAACCCCTAACCCAACACAACCCAGAACTTAAAGAAAAAGCCATCCCTTAACTCTAGAAATCTAAAATGCGAAACCATAACCCTTAAAAAGATGCCACAACAGCGAATCCTAGGGACCCGCAGCACCAAGACGTTGTTGAAGTAGGCAGTTAGCTCCTCTCTTACAGTTGTCGGGTTTAATGGTTTAGGTTTTGGGGTGTTGGGTGTTTTGGGATCAGGGTCTGGATTTCCGGTTTAGGTAAGGATTTTGTCATATTATGTATTGGTCTGGTGTTTGAACCTAACGAGCTATTCTGGCTAGCTTCTAGCATTCCTCATTAGCAGTACAACTGTAAGTCAGTCATACTCATGCGTTGCCCTAGCAAGACATGTTCAAATAGGCCGCGCTGTTGCCAAACAACCTTCCAAGACATGGCTAGGTCCAAGTCCACTACCCCTCCATCTTCTATCCGATTTGTAGCTGTATTGCAATAAAGATAACGATGCTATAAGGTGTAGGAATGCAAAACAGATATATATATATATATATGGTCACCCCCCCCATGATCCACACTTGCGTTTCTTCCTGTCCTCCTTGTCCTATCAATGGAGTCATCAAGGCATGTGGGAACTAGCCAAAAACACTGGT